TCGGTGGAGACAACCCCCTCTAGGTTGGGTGACTGCAGCGATGGGGACACAGGATCTGAGGCTGACACAAGGGCAGGTTCTGTGCCCAGAGACATAGCTACAAAAAACACTGCCCATAGCAACTCATTTTTCAATGGCTGAAAAGATTTTTCACAACAGCCAATAGAAACCGTTCATTCGTGGCCCTTCCCTCAAGTGATGCCCAGGGCATGGGCCATACCTGCCATTCCCTAGCTTCAACCCCATCTGTGGCTGCACTTGAGGTCTGGGCATAAGTATGGGCAAATGGATCAGAGGCCGTTTGGTTTGGGACACCCTGGTGTGGGGAAACTCTTCTCTCCCTCTAGGATCAGCATGTCCCACAAAACCCAAACCGGCTGTCATTGGGACAATTCAACTCGGCGACCTTCTATTGGTTTGCTGAGACTGTAGATCTTTATGGAGCCTCATCTTTCTCTTGCAGAATGGCTGGTGAATTTGAACCACCAACCTTGAGTTTAGCAGACCTGTGCCTAAGTCACAGTGTCATGAGAGGTGAGAGGTATGTCCTCATTACAAAGTTGTTAGGAATTCAGGTGTCTTCCTGAGATGGAAGCGGACCCCAAAACACAGAGATTGCCCTAAGATATTTTTAAGAGGGGAGTGGTGGGTGTTGAATGACTGCCTGTCTGTCTGGTCTCATCTCTTTTTCTCTCTATTCCCAGTCTCTGTCTCCTCCACCCCTCAATTCAGCCCTGTACCTCCTGCCCGTTTCTGGAAGAGGAGACTGCAGAGTGAGGAGTGGGAGAAGTAACCCTCCTCTGCCCACTCCTCATTAAAGTCAAATACATTTGGTTTCAGAGCTCATTTTGTTCCCCACCCGCTCAGAGTTTTTCAGAAGAAAGTTATTTTTTTTTCTTCCATCGAGGTTTTGAAAAATATGTTCCCCTTGTTCAAAATGGAAAAGATGTGAAATATAATAAAGATCTTATGTATGGCAAAAGGTTCTGCCCAAGCTACTCGATGCTTTTGTATGTTCCTTGGGCCCCAATTCACCCCAAAACAAGGGCCACTGTTGGGTCCCAGTGCATGCAGGTGGGTTTGTGGGAACAAACTAGGTTTACACACGTCCTGTAACTGTGACTGGTGGGTGGCTGCAGACAAGTTCTCAGTGATAAATTTGTATCAGTGTCATTAAGGTGCTTCCCTACTCCAAAAAAAAAGGTCCAATCAGAACAGGAACTTTGGAGGGGATCTACTGGGCCAGTTAAGTTCAAGGCAGAGTTAAACTGAACCGCAAGCTGATAGGTTGAAGGTGGTCTTTGTTTTTGGATCCTAAAGGGGTAACCTCGATAGATTTTCTTGAAGGACACAGGAGGCAGTCAATGGGTGGTCTCCTTAGAGAAGGACGCTTTAAGAAAACCGAAAAGTGCCCTTGGTGAGAAACAGGCTGGGAAAGTTGTGTGGAGGGAAAAAAAAGAAATTTTTTTCTTTTCCCGATCAGGACAATGCTGCTCATTTTGAGGGTAATAAAGGCTATTGTGAGAGAATTTCACTGGGGGAACTTTACACCAACCTCTACAGCCCCTTCTGCCGGTTTTCTTTCCCAGACTCCGGAGAACACGTCACAGGAACACCATCAAAGATGCCTCCATTAACATGTTGACGTGGTGTCCATAGCAGAATGAACGCAGCACTCTTGGGTCACAAAGGTTCAGCCCTGGCATTCCTGTGGGCACAGCCTGCTGCTAGAGAGGGGGTACTGTTTGCCTCTATTTTCTGAGTAAGAAAACCGAGGGGCGCAAGGGGAAAGCGCCTAGGCTGAGGTCACACAGCGATAAGACAGCCCCCTTTCCCTGGAAGGAAGCTGGGGGCACAGAGTCTTGACGCGGCTTGGCTTGCCCGGGAAAACTTGGCTAGTAATTGGCCCAGCCGGGCACTGGAGCGCTTTCATGCCTGTCCCTCCCCGCGGGGCACTAGGCTGGACAGGGGCGTGGCCATGCTTGGGCGTGGCCGAACGCCGCCCCGCCCACCCACCGGCCGCTCCCCCTCCCCCCTGCGTCCGCATTCCTGGCAGCAGCGGCGGCCGTTTCCTGCCCGAGCCGCTGGGCGGGCGGCCCATCTGGCGGCCCCCAAGGGGCGGCGCGGGGAGGCGGCCCAGACTCGCTGGAGCCAGGCGCCGGCTCGGGCCCCCTGCCCGCCCGGAGAGCCCAGGTGTGGCCGCGGCGGGGGTGGGGGCGTGGTGCTTTCCTTCCCGCGCGCTTGGCCCTTCCTGCAGCACCGGGCAGGATGCAGCCTCCTCCTGCCCGCCCCTCCTGGGCCCCGGCCTCCCTGTTGCAGGCCGGGAACGAGGGTGCAGATTCCCCGTGGACTCCACCCCTTGTGGAAGCACCTCACCCCCGGGCAAGTTCCCTGGTTTTAAGGAAAGGGGACTGAGTTTCCGCTTTTGCCCAAGGACGGCTGACCTGGACCTCACGCGCCTTACTCCCCAGGACCCCTGGGGAGGCCCCGTTATCAGCTTATGTTGGAGCTGAGGACTGCGACACCCATTTCAAATCCGACGTCCCCATTTGACTCTCCACGTGGGAAGGACCGGCACCGGCCCTCCTGCGGTCCCTGGCGGCAGGGCAGTGCTGGCTACGGTGGCTTGATCGGTGCCTACCTAATTCGTTGGTGGGACTGGGGCCCGGATAGGGCGCCCCAAGGCCCTTCCCAAAGTTGCCTGTGCCAGGACCGAGTCTCTCGCCCATTTTACAGCCGGGGCATCAGGTCAGAGGCTGAGACACAAGGTCCAGGACCAAGGCTGTGCCCAGTCTCCCTGCTCTCCGTTCACTGCCCACACCCGTCCCCCAACTAAGCTGGTGCTGTTGAAGATCGTCTTGGAAGGCCAAGCCAGGGGGTTCGACGTGGCTCCCGCCCTACCTCCGCACGCACTCAACGCCCCAGGCTCAGTTTCCCTATCTGTGAAATCATTGCATCTACCTCTTGGGGTTATGACAGCGATCATTTCTCAAACACCTTAATAACTGATTCATCAAGTACAAACGTGCCCGCCCCTTTCCCTCCTGTTAGGAGAGACTGAGGCACCGAGAGGGACGCCTAGCAGACCGTAGGCAGAACTTGGAGCATTAGGGACAGTTACCTCCAAATCCACCCCCACCCCGGGCCAGGCCCTGCCGGGCCACCCCCGCCTCTCCATCGGCACGCAGGCCCGCTCCGTGCCCGGCCTGGTGCCATTTTTCCATGGGACTCTGGCGGTGGCGGTTCACATCTGGAGTCTAGACTCGGAGGCTCTGCGGGCCGGGCCGACCGCCCGGGCCGGGCCACCGCTGCCTGCTGTTTGCTCAGCTGAAGCTGGTTAATTGGAATTAGAGCGGCCTCTGCGGTGCCGGCTGGCCGGGTGGGCCCTGGCCGGCCCCTGCCGAGGTCTGTGGAACATCTGGCAGGGCCAGGACGGTCATTAGGTGGCAGGCGCCCGGCGCCACCGTCACCTCAGCCGGAGCCCAGTGGTGACTCAATGAGGTCTTTGTGGGCCCTGGGCCGCAGAGCCAACGGGGTGCTGTGCTGCGCGCCTGCGCAGCCCGCCCCATCTGCCTCCCTCAGAGGGGCCTTGTTCCAGGACCACAAGGCCTCCCCTCTGGAGGTGGCTGTAGCTGGCAAAACCCTGAGAAGCCTCTGGAAGGGACCCCTGGCTGTGAAAAAGGCCTGAGATCTAATCTTTCCATACATGCCAGGGCGCAGAGCGGTTGAGTGCCTGGCTCACAAGCGCCCAGCACAGCAGGCCCAGCGATTCTGGTGCACAGGCAGACAGAGACAGAGAGGGGGTGTGGTGGCACCGTCCTTCACTCACTGCAGCCTGCCGACTCGTGGGACCAGGCGGGGCCAGAGAGAGCGGCTGTAATTACACAGGAACACACCATCTCATGTGCCCGGCAGCAGCTGGCGGCTTCAAACTGCTGACCTTGCAGTGAGCAGCCTAGCAGTTAGCAACATGTAGCTGCTAGGCAACCAGGGCTCCTGCAGAGTACTTGGGGGGCTCTGGATGGCCTGAGGTCAAGCTGATGCCCCTGCGGAAGCTAGTTCAATTCCCCCCTTTGCATAATAGGGCCAGCCATAGCAGGTACAGCTGAAGATAAAAATCCATACTGAGGTGCCCAGTCCAGGTGACAGCCCCACACCTCAGCTTGTCCTGCTACCTTGGTCACCTCCAAACTGCCTGGAGGCCATTGTTTGCTCTCAGCCATGCACCTGAAGCTTAGGTGAGAGGCAGAGCCCAGGGCAGGTGCTGGAGACTTGAGTCGCCCTCTGCCTCAGTTTCCCCAATGGCCCCACAACCAGAAGGTGGGTGCAGGCTGTGCCCACTCCTCAGCTGGTCCAGAGTAAGCTGTGGCCCTGGGACCCCATCCCCTGGACCAAGGACTGCCTCTGAGTCGCTGTGCAGAATAAGTGTCCCTGTAGCCTGGTGGGGAAAAGGGGGGCTCTCAGAATCAGGTGGCCTCTGGCGCTAGGGACAGCCATTTGGGGAAGGCTGCAAGGAGAGGGAACGGGACCTTCATCTCCAGGGCAACTCGGAATCCAGGTCCCTTTGGGGAAGCCACAGGGACATAAGAACGAGGCTAGCTGGCTCCTGCCAGGCTGAGAGTAGAGTCTGAACTCTTCCCTGGGCCTACGGCCCACCCACTTCTCTGGCTTGACTGCTACTGACTGGCTCCTTGCTGAGTCCGGTCAGCAGGCCAGGGTGACGTCTGCCCAACATGCCACTGTCTCCACATAGTGGAAACCTAACTTTGTGGAGAGAAGCAGTCTCGTGGGCACCCCCTGCTGGCCCAAGGGCGTGTCTGAGGCTTTGAGCAGGCAAGCTGGCCAGAGGTGGGCAATCCAGGAGAAATGGGTCCGGCGGTCTGGTTGGCTCCCGTGCCCACCGCCACTGGAAGGGGATTGCGGAAAAGGTTCTGGGTGGGAAGGTGAGAGCTGGCAAGATGTTGCGGGGTTCAGCGGAGTCGCCTCCAGGAGCGCAGCACTGCCCCAGCAACCAGAGTTTTATTGTCAGGCAGTCAGTCCACATACAAAAATCAAAAAAGCCGACCCACCTTCCCCTCCCTGCCGCACCTGCCGCCCCTGCCGCCCAGGGCCGGGGTGGGGTGGGGTGTGGTGCGAAGGGCTTGCTTGGTCGGCAGGAGATGGGGAGGGGCAGAGGAGGGCCTGAGAGCGAAACAGGGGCCCTTCCCCTGTCCTGGGTGGCCCTGGCCCCTGCGCCTTCCGTGCTGCACGCAGGTGTCCCCATCGCCCGCTGTTGGTCCTTGCGGGCAGGCCCCAGCGGCGGCGGTTCAATTCTCCTTCTTCTCTGTCTCCTTGACCGTCTCTGCGCATTTGGATTCTGTCCCTGCTGCTGGATCCTTGGCATTCGACTCCTCATAGCTGGTTGAAAGACAGGATAAAGACTGGCCGCTTAAAGGAGGGGCAAACAGAAGCTGCGTCTGCTTCCGTCCCCGGAAGAACACCAGTCCAGCGGGCCCCGCCCCCACCGGCTCGGCCCCGCCCCCCACGCACGCGCCAATGACAGGCAAGCCGGCTTCCCAGGTGCCCAGTAGTGTCAAGAGGCATTATGGGCAGCGGCAAGTGAAGGAGAGGTTGGGCCCAAATGTGTGCTGCCCAACTTTCTGCTTCTGGAACCTTCTGCCAGGGGGTAGCGAGGGGCTGCCACCTAGGGTCAGTGGCAGGACCATCCGGCTCAGCCCTGGGGGCAGTGGCAATGCTCGTTGGCACATGGCGAGGCGCCACTGTAGATGGCAGTCCCCTGGCTTAGCTCTGACTTACGGGCAACAGAAGTGCTGCCAAGGGCAACATATTTCCTCATCCGCTCGACCCTAGGAGGCAGGAATGTGCCCACTTTGATGAAGAAAGAGAAGCTCAGAAAGAGGAAGGTGACTTGTCCAAGGTGGCATGTGTGTGTGTGTGTGTGTATACACAGCGAGCAGTAACTAGTATTATCCAGTAAGAGCCCTCCACATCTCCTTCCAGTGAGCCCAGACCATTGAGCAGGCCGACTCCTGGGTTGCTCTGCCTTCGGCCCCATGGCTAGGTACAGGGGCTGAGGAGCTGTCTCCCAAGTCCCTACCCACTCCCCCAACCCCCCCTGCTCCCTACCCTGCACACTGAGGCTGGAGGATCTGCCCTACCTTGGGCCCTGGGGCAGGTGGGGGGAAGCGGGCAGGTGGGTACCCGCTGGGTATTACATGGCGCTGGGATTCTGTGGGCGCCGGCGGTGAGGGCCAGCTAGCTTCTGCTGCATGGAGTCGGCCAGGCTGGCTGGGGAGCCCGAGACTGTGGGGAAGTGGGTGAGCCTCGGGGTGTGAGGCAAGATTTCCGCCGAGGACTCGTAGCTGTGTGAGAGACAGAGACAGACAGACAGAAGGGAAGGCCTGAGGAGGAGAGAGGGCAAGGTCTCCTTTCTCAGGTGCCTGCTGTGAGCTCTCTGGACTTTGTGGGGAGAACAAGAGAGACATCTACACAGGCTCCATAGAGGGCTGGCCCTTGGGGGGGGGTGTCCTGAAGTGTCGCTAAGACACAGCACCCTGTGAGGGGGCCACCTTCCCATTCTCTGGGCGCTGTGTGACCTGTGGGTATACAGACACACCTGGAAGGGAGGCTGTCCTCTCCAGCCTAGCTACCGTGGCCACGTGATAGCGTGGCCTCTTTTAAAGGGAGAGCAGCACAGAAGGAGAAGCATGAACCAAAGGACGAGGTCGAGAGAAGACCCAAAGGGGAGACCTGGGCTTGAGGTGCAAGCAGGTGGGGCCAGGCCCTCAGGTGGGCAGGAAGCACAGTGGGGAAGGAGCACTCTGTCGGGGGTGGGAGCGAGGACGGGAACGGCTGTAAAACACATGCTCTGATGAGGACCCAACAGAACTGGGTGGTCACGCCCAGGGAGCCTCGGGTGGGCTGAGACTTGAAGTGAACAAGGGGCCAAGTGCAGGGGGAATCTGCCCCTTCAAAGCCCCTCAGGCCTGCCCCCAAGTTCACCCCTCCCGATGTGCCTCCAAGGCACCAGACCTCTGCCAGGCCAGGACATGTGGCAGGGAGACAGGCGGGCAGGGAGCCTGGGGCTTCTAGGCAGGGCAGGGAGGACAAAGGCAGGGACGGGGGAGGGTGAGTCATGGGATCCCCCCCGCAGGCACACAGGTGTGCAGAAGCCCTGGTGTGTTAAGGACAGCGTGGAGGCCAGGCAGGTGGGGCGGGGGGCGGGAGAGGGGAAGGCCCCTGAGTGGGCAGCGCTAGTCACAGTTGGCAGCTATTTCTGGGTCCCTGGCAGGCGGGGTTGGTGGTGCTGGGGAGCAGACACCTGTCGGGTCACGCAACCTTGGGGTATGGGTGAGGTTGTGCGTGGGGTGTGGCAGGTGTGGCTCTGGCCCTGGGGCAGGAGCCTGATGCTTGCTACAGGGGCTAGCTGGGGGTCACAGCCACCAGGACAGGCTCTTGTGCAGCCAACTAGGGAAATAGTCTCTGCATGGGGGCTGGGGGGGAGGTATGGGCTGCCTGGGGCCCTGGACTGACCTTGGACTTTTCACACCAGGCGCCTCCACCTGCCGGACTCATTACTCACACAGGAGAGGCAGCGGTGAAGGGGAGGGGCGCCCCGGAAGCCACACTGCGGCAGGCTGTCTCCACCAGCTACCCCTTCTCAAGACCCAGTTGGCATCTGGGTGTGAGGGCCACCCAGAGAGCCCTGAGGCCTTACCCTCCCCCTGGCTCCTGGCCCAGGGAAAGGTTCTCACTGGTGCCCACAGGCTAGGCACCCACGGACTGGCAGAAAGGGCGAGGGGTGGGGCGGGTGTCGGGAATGATGTTCTCCTGGAGACGTGTACAAACACCCCTGGCAGTCTCCACTAGCTGCCCAAAGGTGCACCTGCGCCCTGTCAAATAAATGGCTGCCAGCCCTCTACCCCCTTACCTGAACATCTCCGTCACTTCCCCCTTGACCAGTGCGACTAGGACCGGAAAGCCGATGCAGGCAGGGACCAGGTACAGGAGGGCGGGCTGTGGAGGGCAGGCAGGTCAGGAGCTGAGCGGGGCCTCACCCCACGGCTCCAACCCTCTCCTGACACAGCAGCCATTCCACCGGTGGCTGGGCCTCACCCCAAGGCTCCTGATCCCCACAAGGGCTGTTCCCACCAGGAGGGGCCTCACAGCCCCCAAAGAACTACAGGCATGTGGGCTTTCAGGGAGCCCTGATTTCCAGGGGGTGTGGCTGGAAGCATTTGGGTCACTTGGGACAATGGGCACATGCCACCTCTGCCCGCTCGAGCCCCTGCTTCCCTGGCCTGGAGTGCTGGCAGCACGCTTTTAACCACCGCTCCAGGAGATGCTTGCTCTGGGGTAAGCCTGCCACCCTGCCCCAGTGACAACACAGGATCTGCAGAGATTGTCTGCTGTGGCCTGCATTTCGGCCCGCCAACTGGTCACTCGGCTCAGCTGGGCCGGCCCCAGGGTTGAGCCGGAACCTCCTTGGGCAGCTGGTGGCGCCAAAGGACAGCCACGCTAACAGCTCCTGTTTGTGGAGACAGGCTGTGCTGGGCCCTGGTTGCATTCAGTGTCCACGTCCTCCGCCCAACTCAAGGGCAGGCGGCCACTGAGGGGCTCCAGGGGTCAGCGGGAGCGGCTCTCTGTTAAAAGGGAGTGCCCTGTTATCAGAGGAACAGAGGCTGTAGTCTTCTCTCAGGGCCCCAAGTGATCTTCCCAAAGAAAGTGCTGCAAAGCCTGGGGTGCACAGCTGGGAGCCTGACTCAGGGCTGCAGGGCTTGTGTCAGTCCTACTGTGTGATCATGGCCCAGCAGCCTCCTCCACTGGGCTTGATTTTTCATGATCATTTCTAAGGGCCTTTCTGGGGGGCTGCTGGTCTGCCTGGCTTGGCAGAGTATCTATTTCTGGTAAAAATACAGACAAGAAAACACACATGAATGCAGTAGCTCCTGTCTGTCCTAATCAGCGACTCTGGAAACATTCTCCGGGTCCTGGGTCCTGCCACCTTCCTGAATAATCCATCACCACCATTCTTATCACAAGCTGTCTCTCGGCCCTTTTGAGATGCTGCTGTGGACTTGATTACATGTAATTCTTAGAAGGAGTATAATGCTTGAAGCATTCTATTTACCCGAAACCATTAATTGCTTCAGCAGACAGCTCTGCTTTAAGGTCTAAAGGGGAAGGTGGGGGGTGGGGGGTATGGGGAGTAGATCCATCTGGCCTCAGGGGCCCCAGATGTTCCAGAGTCCATAAAACCAAACCAACCCCAAACCACACTCACTGCCATCTAGTGGATGCTGATTCAAAGTGACCCCGTAGGGCGGGGCAGCGCTGCCCCAGGCGTTTCTGAGCCCGTCCCTCTGAGGGGAGTACAAAACCCTGCCTTTCTCTCGAGGAGCGGCTGATCCTGTGGCTAGCAGCCCAACGTGTCACCACGATGCTACCAGGGCTTCATAAAAGGGGCAGATTCTGAGAGTGGCAACAAGCGTGAAAGGTGTTGGCTGGTGTTGGGCTGTCTGTGTCTTGGAGCAGTCTCCATCCAGCCCCTTGCCTGTAAGCGTCTGCAGGGCAATGCAGTGCATGGTGGGGGCTGGGGGAGGTCAGGCTGCTGCTGAGAAGGCGCACTGGCCTGGGACTGGGTCCAGCTTGACTTGCTGTGGCTCAGGGACGCCTTTTTCTCCATGGGCCTAGGCTTCCCCAGGCAGAGATCAGCTCTTGGGCTTCCACTTGGTCTAAGGAGCCTCCGAGTCCAGCCCAGGCTGAAGGCAAGTCCGCCACCTGCTGGCCGCCAAGGGAATAGCTCTAGGCTTATTCAAAACTCCAAACTTTACTGCCATTGAGTTGATTCTGACGCATAGGGACCCTTATAGGGCAGGGCAGAACTGCTCCTGTGGGTTTCCAAGACTGTAATTCTTTACAGGTCTGGTGGAGCAGCTGGTGGTTTTGAACCGATGACCTTGCGGTTAGCAGTCCAATGTGTAACCACTATGCCACCAGGGCTTGCTCAGAGGTGCAGGAGGGAACTCCAGTGGGCTCTCGGTCAGTCCTACGCAGGCCAACCCCTCTGCAACGCCCAGGGCAATTGCTGGTCATCTTCTGCATGTCCTGCCCCTGAGATGGGCACAGACATTCACTGAGCCCATTTGGAACAGAGGTGACACCCCATTTGCTGACTGGGGGAGAGGGGGCGGCCCAGTTACTAAATCTCTTCTGACCAAAAGCAGAGTACAGAAGGGCCCCTGGTGGTCTGGTGGGATAAGTTGGGCTCCAGGGGGTAGGGGGAAGGCTGGGTAGTCAGCTCCCGTAGACGTCAGCCCAAGACACCCCGCGGGGCTGCGGGGAGTGGAAAACTGATGTGATGCCACCTACGGCGCACCTCAGCAGCCTGGACGGTCTCCAGGGCTGTCCGCCTTTCATGGGAGCAGAGCACTTGCCTCTCTCCTGGGGCAGCTGCTGGGATCCTCACACAAGAGCCGTGTGCCCCCTCTACCCTGCGGGGCAGTGAGCACCCAGTCAGCCAGCCAGCCACCAAGGGCTCCTGTGGTCAGTTCAGAGGCTGCCCCTCCCCTGTGGTGGTTGGGGAGGGGGACTAACAGCCCCCTAACAATCATTTCAGCTACTACTGACGTGATCGACATCAACTCACTCTACCACCAGTTGCTTCTGGGAGAAAGGGGGGCGGCGTTCTCCGCCTGTACAGAGTTACGGTCTTGGAATTGGCTTGATGGCAGCCACTTTGGTTTAATGACAATGTGCCTCCGTCCGTCCCGTGCTGTGGATCACACAGCTCTGCCCCAGCGGAGTCTGAACATGCCCCAGGCTGAGCCTCCAGGCCACACCACCGCCCCCCTGGACCAGGGCGAGGGCTGGCACCAGTTTGAATCCTAGCCCCACCAAGCGCTTGCCCCAGGGCATCCGAGCTCTGCCTGTTACATGGAGCAGGTAGGAAGCACTGGATGGAGGCGGGGGTGCTGGGGAGCGGCCCAACGGCATTAAACGCTGGCTGGGACCGCATGTGCACCAAAGATCGGATGATTTCACTGGCTGATGAGGGGCAATGGACCATCAGGCCTTTCTTTCTAGCCTAGCTTAGTCTGGAAGCCCCACCGAAACCGTGGGCTACCAGCACCTTGAAGCCCCCATTGACAGATAGGTGGTGGCTCGGGGAGAGGTACACACTGGCGGGGAACTCACTCAGACCTCCAGCATGGATGAGGAGACCCCACCCTGGCCCCCTAACTCAAAGCAGCTCTTATTTCCACCAGTGATTCTGTACTCTGGCTCCCTGTCCCCTCCTCGCCTTCCCCTCTCTTGGACATGCCGATGGCTCCCAGGCCACCATCCCTCCGCCATCCACTCTAGTCTGCAGCTGCTCAGCGCCCACCATGGTCAGTGAACCCATGACTCATTCAGGGGGATATTAGGCCCTGGACAGAAACCTTTCACGGCCCCCGACTTTGCTGCCTGCCCACACAATGCAGGTTGAGAAGCCAGTCTGTAGGGCTGGCAGCTCGGGTGGCCCAGGGACACACTGGCCAAAAATCTGCAGATGATGATCGGGCCAAGTTTTTGTCTTCCTGCTGAAAAGGACAGGCAGGCTGGTACTGTGCCACGAATGTGGATGTGTGGCCTCTTGCAGGAAAGAGGGAAGCACACAGGCATGCTCGGACCCTGCGGAACAGACGCTTGCCCCCCTGACTGCTGGCACATGGGACAAATATACCAGGTGAGTCCCGGTGAAACCTGGAGTCTGATCCTGCTCACCTGGGCATGCTTGAAGATGTGCATGATGAAGATGGTGAGACCCAGGCCGAAGACATAGGCCGCGAAGCTGGTGTAGAAGTAGGTGTAGGTGTTCTTCTTCAGGCTGCGGGGGAGGGACGTGTGAGAGGCAGGGGCCAGGGAAGCATCACCCTGCTGTGGCGGGTGCTCAGGATGCGTGCGGTGACTGAGCGCCCTGGGCTGGGAGCCCAACCTGGGTGTGCCTTCCGGACCTGTCCCGAGCGATGTGGCTGTGGGCAAGCCCTGCTCCTCGCTGCCTCAGTTTATCTAACTGCAAAGTAGGAAAACCCTGAGTCCGGCTTCTGGTGGGGATGGGGTGGGGTGGGGCTGAAGAGATCAAATGGGACAGTGGCCCTCAGATTTTGGCCAGCATCAAAATTACCTGGACGCTTCAAGATTCTGATCTGACAGGTCTGGGGCAAGGGCCACGACAGTGCTGGCGGTGGGGACTACACGGATTCGGGCTGGGGGTGAATCTAACGGGTTCATCCGAGACCAGCTTCAGCGTAGAAGAACCCCAGGCACTCGGCCTTTCAGAACACCGACTCCACGATGC